TATCGTTGCCCAACACGGAATATATCCTAGTGGTGAGGGTAATCTATCGACGAGTAACGCTGTGCATAACATCTAAATTTAGTCATTTCATTCGAATATTTAAATTGCGCTTACAACAAATGACTGGGAAGAATGTGCACATTTCAAGCAAACGCATAGACAGTTGACATCGTACCACCCATAAGAGCCGAACATTCATGTAATGTCTGTCCTTTTCTAACTTAATGAGTGAGAGATTTGCAAGAAGTTGCAGTATTTCAGTGGAATGTGCTGGTTATATATATAAGAATTTCAGTAATAATAGATAGGTTACTACCGTATCACCACAAGAAGACGATCGATGTGGATAGCCTTCTACGGAATGATCCAAGAAGCCAAGCAACAGCAGAAGCAGTCGCAGTACCAATAGATACAACCTGATGTATCGGTGAATGTGGGATGGACTACCGCACAACAACGATGCTCCTCCCATTGTGACGTAGGAGTCAATAGTATATTGCGCCAATTTGCTGTTCATCGTTAATGGAGATTGGATGGACAGACTAACTCAGATTCCTCCTCATCCTTGGCTTTCTTTCCGTCCACAATACAATACTAATTGAGAGGCTAACAATTATGCACCTGGCAATTGACTGTAACCGGAAAGGCTGATTATTTTTCAGGAGTTGGAAGGAAGTAATTACATTGAATGGAATATGTGCACTCCGGATGTATCGTAGTGGTATTGTTGGTAGAAGTTATATGCACTGATTTAGATTTTAATTGAGGAAGTAATTTAGAATTGAAATTTGGATCAAATTAATTAATAAATTTAACGTGGTTTATAACTTCTCATCATGATTTGACTTTAAACACAGATTTTAAGCTCAGTTTGGTTATTCAGTTTAATTTTTACTCACTTCCTCTTTCTTTACTTTCTACTTCCCTTACCATTTATCTCTTTCCCGTTTTTCTATGTTGCTAAGTTCCTGAGGTTAAATGGTATAGCTAGTAGAAAAATTATTGTGACTTTTGAGCATATTTGAAAATTTCCCAAATACTTTTTGAGATTTTGAAGGCGATCGTAAAGAATCAATTTCCCTTCTCCATGATAATAAAACTTTCCTTTAAAATATACTTGGAATGGCAGGAATATCCAAATATTAGGGATGTGAAAAGAAAGAAATGTGAATTAAATTAGCATATTGTATCTTACAGGCTTCTGAAACAAAAACAATATACCGCAATGTGTTAAAACTAAATTGCAATATGTTATCAAGGAGCTAACTTAAATTTAACATAGATACGTTTAAGTAGCATTCAAAACAGAATCATAACGCTTCATATTAATATTATGAATAAAAGATTTTTGAATGCTGAAAACGTGTAGTGCGATGTTACGGAGACGTGTACTGTACGTGTTGTAAAAACGACATTAAGCTTAGCATCTTCAGCTATCAACCATTTTTTTTTCATCAAAAAGAACTTAGTATCAATTTAATTCGTAATTTATTTTCCTTAGAAGTGGTCGGGAGTTAATATTTAGTATCAGTCAAATGGATATGTAATTGAAATGCTGTGAGGTAACAATGGATTAGATTATTATACAATAAGGTGGTAATAATAATATCTTTTGCAAGAAACCGGCAGTAATCTAATTGGTATTTTCTGAAGGTAAAGATTAATCACACTATTGCATCACTCTTTACATGCATAATACTTAAATGTATCATTGGTATGAATTAATCTTTACCCGGAAAACCTTTTTTAAAAAGGAGGTTTTTTTGCAGTAGCCTGCTATGATAACCGGATGCGAGAATAGTCGAGAGCGAATAAAGTACAACAGTAATGCTTTATACGTTAATATTTGAAAGTTATTGATAAATACCAGAATTTTTCAAATTTAGAACAATGTAAATTTGAATTTCCGAAACACTGTAATCCATTTTGGTAAGAGTAAAAATTGTTAAAGTATTGAAAGAAAATAGGCCAAAGACCCATTCGTTCATTCACCTAATTGCATAATTAACAAAAAAACTGAGTAAATTAAGCATTACATTTATGTTAAATTAATAATAATTCGACTATTTACGTTTTTTTGATCTCCAAAAAGCAATCGAATAAAAATTTTTTTGAAATATTAAGGCATTAATTTTTTGATTATGCACATATTTTGCCGTTAACTAAGTTAAACTCAGTTCTCAAACCTATATAGCTTATGAAGTTTAAAAAATCACACATTGCAAATGAATTTTCAAGACAAAGTAAAATGCCAGGAAAATGAGCCTAAATTTTCTTATAAGATGGATTTTTTTCGAAATTCTTCTCTTTTATTTTAGAAATTTCCTTTGCATACAATCACTGAAATGACCAATCAGCCAAAACGTTAATAATAAGAGAGATTTTAAAAAAATCTAAATTTGGATATATGCACAAATATAAATTATCTGAAATGTAGTAGAAATTGTTTAACTGAAAGCTTCTACTTTTGTAATGTAATTTGTTGTTTGTCTACAAAGTTCTATAACAATTCAGGTTGATTTACACATAACTAATTTTCAATTGTCAATTTATCTGACACATTTTACTCCGGTTGTGATGTATTTTCTGTTGCATAACAGGATTCGGGAATGAAATAAGAACTGGTCTCATTTCAATTAGTTCCATTATTACAATTACTGGATGGGTGACATTTGGTGAATTGTATGTACAATGTTCGTATCAACCAATTAGTCTTATTTAAGATCCATAAACAATACATCGAGTTAATGCTACCACTTCTACTGCACCTGCTTCTTCCGGTTCCAAGCAAGCAAGACCGATGATGTGGTACTCCAGCTAATAATAAACGGTATGCTTCACTGAATACTGTAGTGCAATAAAATTAAGTAGCAAATCGTACTTCTTGCTTCCTTGATTACTTTAATAATAGACTTTTGGTTGAGCTTCATCTTTTTAGCAGTGGATATAATTTGGCCACTAATTTTATGTGTAGCAATAAAATTTGATTTAAGGACTATTTTCAAGGCCAAATCTGAGAATTTTAGAATAAGTCAATAGCTTTGGTCATAACTGATCCATTACCGTTGCATCAAACATCAGATGCTTCATAAATAATCCAACAACATCCATCAGGAAGGATGATTTCCCGCAATCAAACACATTTCATGGCTACAATTTTATTTTTTAAACGATGAAAAGTGGAATGGGTTTATTTTGTACGCTTATTTGTTTTCTTTTTTTTTCAAATGGAATATTTATTTTGGTAATTATAGAATTCCAAAATATGAGCTCATTAGCATACCGAACCTTTAAAAATTATTTTAAAGATAACAATGCAATACTAAGTAGATATTTATTAGAAATAAGCAGTGAATATTTCTATACGTTTTAGCCAATATCTCAGGTACTCAGATACTGATAGACAGTACTTGTTGGAAAAGTGTAACGGAATAAGTAGTGAAAGTGAAACTGAACAAATAATAGAAGTGCAAATGAGCAGGTGGGGTCACTTTATGATTCTTTCTCACCACTCCTCAGATCCTTGAAGATAATAGAATAGAGGTCAACAGTGGATAACGAGTATCTTAATCAAAACAAATATCTTAATTTCTTCAACAGATTATCTGTTCTTATCCTTATTTGCATAACTAGTACCATACGAAGAATAAAACCATTTCCAGGCCATCTTTATTTAGCAAAATTGAAGTGAAAATCAAAATTTTCCCGTCCTTTTTTTTTGATTTTTAGATAAATTGAAAATGAAAAATGAACCAAAAAGCAAAGGGCAAGAAGACATCGTTGAAATAGCTATTTCCTTGACAATTATATGTGAAGCATAAATTTTAGCATTTAATAATAGTGCTTATATGCTAATTAAGTTTCTGCATTTTATTAGATTTTTCATAAATCAGATTTTTTTGGTAATCTGATATCAGAACTCATACATTAATTAATTAGTCCGTTAATTCGTCATTTTCTCAGCTAATTATCTTAATCACATAGAAGTTAATTAGGTCATCAATCAGATTCAGATCTCATAACATACAATTTCCTGCATTTATCAGACTGACGATTACTGTAGAGTTAGAGGTGTGAGGAACTAATTGCTCAGAAATGTATTTTGTCTAATGATGACCTTTAGCAATGCTGGCTATTTTCTCTTGTTATATTGTGTTGACCAATTCGTTGTTCGTTTTGTGGTATGAGACGAGCATGGATAAGATTTAGGTAATTGGATGGACTCAGTTTACACTAATTCATAGTTAGAGGATGGAGAAGAGTAATTGGGAAATCTGTTGATAGGTGACAAAGTTCATCTGAAAATTTGATTCTACGAATAACTATTACACATATTTTCCCCACTAATCTACTTGAACTTTAATGAACTTTGTTGTCCTTTTGTCGTCACATAATAGTACTTGATATGTACGAGGTCCTTTTGTTGTTTTACAAATTTTCAAACTATTTCAGGAATGACTACTTATTTCTGGGATATGAGATAAAAGTTCACAAAAGATGTTGTGTAATAATAAAAAATAAAAGGGATTACATTGATTGATTACTTTGTCCTGAAATATTGTTAACCTTCCGACCGATCGCAAGACATCATTTATCTCTTTCACCGAAATTCGACTATTTTTAGTAAAAATCACACATCTTATATTACACCGTCAAATAATGTTTGATAAAAAAAGAAATATTGTGGTAGAATATTAAGCCAAGTACAATTTCGTATTTCAATACGTTCCAATTTAATAACAACGTAGACTGAACAAGTGAGAAATTGAAAAGAGTAGCAAATATCCTAAAGATGGCAAACAATCAAGACGATAAGTGATCATAGAAAAGGACGAAATTGGAATTTGCATGTATCTCAGAAATGAGATACAATAAAAGTTTAAACGTCAGTAAAGAAGAGGCGAAAAGTTAGGAATGGTCATTTGTTTAGTGGAAATTCATTTCAATATAGCTCCAGTATTACTCAGCAAATTTGATAAATACTTTGCGAATTTCTTCCTGAAAAATTATTTGTGGATGATCGGACAATCAAATGTTGAAATAAAAATCTTTCTCATATCGTATCATAACGCTAGCAAAGTAATATAATTCGTGTGAAATTGGTAACAGTATTTTAATAATATTTGTTTTTAACACCGATGAAATACTAATATTTCCAGAACAAATATTTTCTAGCCGAGTTTCTGGCTTTTAACCGGAACTTTACCGCATTTGCCATTAATTCAGGTTTTCAAAGTTGAACCTTAAATTAATGTTTGTGGCATAAATGAAATATAAAAAGACCTAGGGAAAATGGAAACCTTAAAAATACACTGCATTTTTTTGAGTTACTAGTAGTATAACTGTTAGGATCAATTGGATTACGGTAGAATTGTAATTACTGCTCTTAAAAAAATTATTGATAACATTAAATTGCTTTCATTTAGGATTTAATTATTTGAATGGAAAGATAAATAATGTTTCAAACAATGG